AGTATTACATAATGAAATAGATTTTAAATTTCAATATAACAAAAGAAATAATTAAATAAAACAATGAATAGAAAGAATATTTATGTGATATTGTGAATAAACAGAAAGAAGAATGAATAATTTAATAAGTTTGAATGGATAGACAATGGTATAACAGAATAATAAAGATTATTGAAATACTACTATAATTTTATATTTTATTTTCTAAGAAATGAATAGAATAAGAAATGAAAGAGTTTTAAATCAGAAAAGTATAACAAAATAAGAAAGAATTATAGATGAACATACCAATCATAAAGTTAATAAAGAAGTAAATAAAATGAAAAGAAATAATAAGAAATAAATGAATGATAATATATTAATTTCAAGAAACAACTTAATTCATATAAATCATATTCAAATAATTTAATTCATTATTCAATTCTTTTTAACTAATTTTGGATTTTACTTAAATAATATATTTTTCATTTCATTCTATATTATGAAGAGAAGTTTGTATGAATTGGTTTTGAAATTATTTATTCTCTTTCACACCATTTCATTTACTTCTATTTCTTTTTTTTTGAGTTGATGTTAATAGAGATATGACTCTTCTATTGTCTCTTATTACATCCATTTCATATCTTTTCGTTATTTATTTATTATTCGTTATATCCTTTTATTCTTATTATCATTCATATCGACTTTCAATCATTTCAACGATTATTTCTTTATTCCAACATCACACTTTATCTATTTATATTCTTTTCTTTGACTTTTTCTCTTAATATTTTGTGTGTTTGCTTTTTTTCTCTGTTTTTATTCATTTTGTTTTTATGTTGTTATTTATTCATCATTTCATTTAGGAAATACCAAATAGAATGCAAAACATCTTGTAATTTAATGCAATGACTTGTATAAATACTTAGGAATATGGCAGTCCGACGAAATTGATGACACTTTCAATTGTAAAACCATCAAAGAAAAAATGAAGAAGATGGAAGAAATAAACACTGATGAAAGTAGTAATAGAAGATATATTACTAGAATAAACACGGAAGTAATCCCTATCTTCAGATATTCAGCATCAGTTGTAAATTGGAAAATAACTGACCTAGATAAAATTGATTTGGAGATAAGAAAATACTTAAGAAAGGCAAAATACATTGGTGAAACTCCAAAGATAGGTTGTATGTCATTATAGAAGAAATGAAGGATTAATAAATATAAGAGACGAATATGTTAATGAAATAATTAGAACAGGAATGTACTACTGTACCAGAGAAAGTGAAATATGAAATAACATATTAGATAGATGGTACAGTAAGAAGGGAATATTGAATAGAATTAAAAACATTAATTCATAAAATAAATGAAACAAAAATAGAAGAAATAATAAATGAAGGGATAGAAAATAAAAAAGAAAAAGAAGTAGTAATAGAAATAAAAAATTAATGATAAATACATCAAAAAATAGAAGTGTCATCAAACAAGTGAACAATTTAGAAGATGGAATGAGTCAAAATGAGTAGATAAAACTACTACAGTGAAAGCATGGAAGTCAATCAATATTAAAAAGAATGCATTTCTACAATTAACTAAAATGCAAGATGGAGCAATATTTTGTGGTTATAGAAAATCAAAAATACTGAAAAATGAAAGACTGAAATACTCAACACTTTGTAAAGACAAGATAACAACAGTAGAACACATTCTACTATCTTGTATTTATCATAAAAAATCACAAATGGAAAAACATGACAATAATGGCATTATAATATTGGAGGGATTAATAAGAAAATATACAGGAAATAAACAATATATAAAACCTCCATATGAAACAATATTCCAATATAAAGACATTACAATGATATGGATCAAACAAATAATGCCTAAAAGTGATGGACAATATCACAAAATACCAGATATATGTAATAGATAAAAAGAACAAAACTAGTCTAATATTTGATATGACTATTGTGGCTGATCACAATATTAATGGAGTGTATTTGAAGAAAAGAAATAAGTATAATGAATTAAAGAATATTCTAATGAAAATAGAGAAACTAAAAGATGTCAAAATAATTCCAGTAATAATATCAATTAATGGAATAATAAACAAATAAAGTAATAGATTAATTAAAGAATTAAAGAATTAAAATTGACATCGAGAAAGAAATTAAAAACCTTGTAATAAAAAACATGATTAATGTCATTGAATATTACTTCAATTACAATCAAACATACTCAATATAAATACTAGAAAAAGACAAAGATATGGGACTAGTCTCCCCTGAGCCAGGAACAATAGAAACTACTTCTATTAATACTTATTTAATTGCTTTTTATTTTCTGTGGTGGTGAAGTTTTTTTATTGTGAAGAGAAATAAAAAAAACAAAGAGGATTTACGTTTAACAAAAAAAAAGGGTTTTTTTTTATTTTTTCTTGAGAAAAAATGAAAAATTAGGAAAAACAACTGAAAAGAGAGTAAAGATTTTTTAATAAATGGAGCCAGCACCAGGGTGTTATCGTATTTGTTTGGCATCAGACTTCTTTTATCCGAATATGGGAGGAGTTGAATTTCATCAATACCAAATTGCACATTTTTTTGTAAAACATGGACATAAAGTTGTTGTCATAACACATCAATATGGGAATAGAACAGGGGTAAGAGTGTTAAAAAATGGAATTAAAGTATATTATTTACCATTACTTCGAATGTTTAATGAATGTTGTTTTCCAACTGGAATGAGTGAACATGCATTGATTAGAAATATATTAATAAGAGAACAAATTCAAATATTACATGCACATCAGTCTTTTTCAGCAATAAGTCTTGAATCAATGTTTTTTGCAAGATTACTAGGAATTAGAGTTTTTCTTACTGAACATTCATTATTTGGATTAAAAGGACTTGCAAGTATTATGTTAAATTCAGTACTTCAATATTCACTAGCAAATAGTGATGGGGCAATTGCAGTGTCACATTGTACTAAAGAGAATATGTGTATTAGAGCAAAAAGAGATCCAACGAAGATATATGTTATTCCAAATGCGTTAGAATCAAGTAAATTTCAACCAGATATAAGTAAAAGAGATCCAAATAATATTAATATTGTTATTTTAAGTAGATTAGTATATCGTAAAGGTATTGATTTAGCTGTTGGAATTATTCCATATATTTGTTCTAAATATCCTAAAGTAAATTTCATTGTTGGAGGAAATGGACCAATGATGTTAAATTTTGAAGAAATGAGAGAAAAGTATCAATTACAAAGTAGAGTAAAATTACTTGGTGCTATTCAACATTGTGAAACTCGTGATGTATTAGTTCAAGGTGATATTTTTTTAAATTGTTCTTTAACAGAAGGTTTTTGTATTGCAATTATTGAAGCATTAAGTTGTGGGTTACATGTTATTTCAACTCATGTTGGTGGTATTAAAGAAGTACTTCCAAATAGTTTAATTAAATATTCAATGCCAACAGTTGAAGATTTATGTAAAAAAGTTGAAGAAGTAATTCCAATTTGTAAAGAAGAACGTTCTTGGGAATTTCATAATGCAGTAAAATCGTTTTATTCATGGGAAAGAGTTGCAACTCGTACAGAACAAGTTTATCATGAAGTTCTTCAAAAGCCACAAGATGATCTTCCCAGTCATTTCAATAAGTTTTGTTTATTTCTTCTATTTTTGTTATTTAAAGGATAATTGTTATTAAGTAATGAAAGTAATTAAAACATTATAAGAAACAACAATATTTATTTCTTTAGAATGTATTATGAAGGTGTTTATTCAGGTCCTTTTATGTTTTTCTTACATTATTTCTTATTATTAATTTCTTGTTTCCTTAACTTTATCTGGCCTAAAGAATCTATTGAAAAAGCTTATGAAATTCCAAGAAAATGTTATAGAAATGGATTGATTAGTGAAACTGGTGAAGAAAAAAGAACTAAATAACTTGAACTTTAAAAAGACATTTAAATAAAGTATTTTTTCTACTTTTATTTTTAATATAATCTAAAATCAAAAAAGAACTTAAAAAAATATATTTTTTTAAGGTAGTTTTATGCAATTCAATTATATGTTATTATTTTTGATGATTATTTTTGTTTCTGCTTCATTTAATGTATCTCCACAACAATTAGAGAGAGAGCAAAAGAAAGGTGGTAAATTTTTTGTTGTTTGTTATATAAATGAATAAACATAAAAAAAAATAAGTATTAAAAAGTAGAGATATTATGCACCATGGTGTGGTTTTTGTAAGATGATGTCTTATGATTATAAAAAATTATTCAGAAAATATAAAGGAACAAAAGTTACAGTTTGTCAAATTGATTGTGATAAATATAATGGTTATTGTGAAAAGATGGGAATTGAAGGTTTCCCTACATTAAAGTTATTTGATGGTACATCTTTAATTAGTGAATATGAAAAAGAAAGAACATATAAAGATATGGATAAATTCCTTTCTGATTATCTTGCTTAATTTAATTTCTTTTTTCATTATTTTTTTTTGGGGTTAATAAGAACTTAATTCAATTGAATTAATGAGTTTACAAGTATTACCTCATGAAGAAGAAACTCTTTTTGATTTAGAAGAAAAGAATGAAGGTAAAATTATTTTAATGCAAGATAAGTTGATAAATGGTTTTGAAGATGAAGTTTTGACAGATTTAAAAACATTACATATTGAAAATTGGTTAGAATTAAGTGAAATGTTTCCAAAATTTATTCATTGTGTTGTTGCAATGGGGTTTGTGAATAACATTTGTGTTTAATGTCTTTTAAGTTTACTTAATATCATTTAGTTATGAAAAGATACTTGTTTATTTACTGGAATTATTCCCTAAAAAAATCGAAACAAAAAATGTAATTGGTTCTACTCTTATTTATACTGCTATTGAAGCAAGACAAGACAATATCACTCAAATCTTAATTAATAAAGGAACAAACCTTCTTGTTATCAATGGAAGAGGGAATTCTTTACTTCATGCAATTTCAAAAAGAAGTGGTGGAGATATGTTAATTCTTATGCAAAAAATTATTAATTTACAACCATCACTTTTAAATACACAAAATAACTATGGAGAAACTCCACTTCATCTTGCATGTTTATGTGGAATAATTGATAATGTAGAATTATTATTAAAAAATGGAGCTTGTACAGATATTGAAACAAAGAATGAAAAAACACCAAGTAATTATGCTATTGAATCAGTAAAATCAAGAGAAGTTCTAGCGTTGATTAATAATTACACACCAAAAATAACTAAACTTGATGAAGAAAAAGAGAGTTTTACACAAAAAATAACAAAATCAATAAAAAGTACATTACAAATAAAAGAAATAATAAAACCAGAAGAAGAAACAAAACTTGTTCAACCCGTTCAAAAAGAAGAGTTAAAAGAAATAGAGGAGATTGAGTCTGACCAAGACTTTGAAGATGATATAAGCTCAATTATTGAAGAAAGAATGTTTCAAATTGAAGAAACAAAAGAAGAAGAAACAAATAATGATAGTAAAGAAGAAATAAAAGAAGAAGAAACAAATAATGATAGTAAAGAAGAAACAAAATTAGGAATATCATTAAATCCCCAAAAAATAATAAAGAATGTATTATATTTAGGTACAAAAGAGTATAGGGAAAAAAAACTAGAAATACTAATTCAAGAATTATGCAATTTATATCCTATTGATACATTAGTAATGGATACTTCATTAACTTATGTCCCAAATCAAAAATATAGAATATTATCATTAGATGGTTTTTCAGATAATCCAATTCTTCAAATTTATATATTACAAAAATTAATACAAAAATTTCCAATGTTCATTGCTAAATGTAATGTAATTGCAGGAGTTGGAATATCAGCATTTATTGCTGGTTCAATTGCAAAAGGTTTATCTTTAGATTTTTTAGAAAAGGTTTTTCCTATAATAGAAAAATACACTAGAGTCTCAAAAAAACGACGATTCAATTCATCAACTAAATATACTAATCGTTATTATGATATTGCATGCTCATCTTTATTTTCTAATCAATCCCTTTCTGAATTTCCAAGAAAATTTTTTACGTATTACCAAAAACTTTCTAATTCTTTTGTTATTGCAGATGGAAGTGAAAGAGCTAATGAAGTAATTATGAAGTCTTGTTCACTTCCATTTCTTTTTAAACCTTATGGTAATTGTATTTCAGGAATGGTAATTCAACCAAATCCTTCTAATTATGCATTAATGGATGCACTTAAAACAGGAATTAGAAAAGAAGATTGTGTTGTACTTTCATTTTCAAATGGATTTGAACATTCAGAAGATGGTGAAAGTTATCCTGATTTCTTTTTGAATGATTGGTTCTCATTAAAAGAATTTCAAAATTTTGAAGGTCAAATTAAACAGTCATCGATTTTTTGTTCAACAATTCTTGGAGATAGATTTTTAAGATTTTCACCAATGATTCATAATACAAATGAAGAAAATTTGAAGAAAATAGTACAAAAGATGAGATTTTCTAAATTAGAACAATGGTTAAGTAAAGAATGGTTTAATTAAAATAGTTTTTTTGTTATTAATATTATTTGAACAAAAAATAAAAACAAAAAAAATTACTATAAAAAATTGTTGTAATATTGTTAGTTTTAGAAACATGTGTGATAAGTCATCATCTATTCATACACCTATTAATTTAATGGATAGAATTAAATATAAATTGGAAATACCAATTATGTGGAATGAAGATTCAAATACTCATGAGGATGAGATATTTTTTGAAGAGGAGGATATTTTAATGACAAAAACAAAAGAACAAGAAAATAAAAAAGATGTAAAAAAGAAAGGTATTATTAAATATTCAAGAAAACCAAAAGTAGAAGATAAAGAAGAAGATAAAAAACCAATTAATGTATCAAAGAAATTATTATTATCTTCAAAATTAAAGAAAAAAGAATTTCTTTCAGCAGATGAAGAAATTAGACAACAAATAGAATATGTTGTTACTGAATTAGAGAAAAGACAAACAGAAGAAAATCCTATTATTGATGGAATAATAACAAATTCAAAAAAATTAAATGAAAATGAAGTACCTCCTAATACAGATCCTAAAAAGGATATTCTTGATTTAAGAACATCAAACAATACAATTACTTTTGTTTCAAATGAAGTTCCACCTATATTAATGAAACAAAATATACCTAAGAATAAAATTCAATTAAGACCAACACAAAATAAATATCATTTTCCAGGAACTGAAATTGGGTTTGATACTATAAAAGAATATAAATTAATGAAATTAAATGCAGATAAAAAAGAATTGAAAACAATTAAAATTCTTATTCATGAATTAGATAAAACTATAGAATCTTGTAATGAAGAAGAATATAAATGAAAAGAATATCAATTTAAAATAATTTTTACATTGTAACAGTTTGTACTTTTGCACAGATTGTTTTTGGAATAAATCCAACATGAGGTCCTTTTACTGCTTTATACAAATTACCAGATTTTGCAAGAAGATAAATACGATCTCCTTTTATTAGAGATAACATTCCTTTTGTTCCAGAAAAATCTTCAATTGCTACAAACAAAAATTTTTCTAATAATTCTTGAACAAAATTAGATGGAAAAATTCCTGGAACACCTCCTTTTTTACCAATCCACCAACCATCCGATTTATATAATATTTCTATTACATCATCAACTCTAAGAGACATTTCTCTTTCAGAACTTGCAGTAAATGGAAATAAAGCAACGCATTTACCAATCGTTGGAGCAAATAATAATTTATTAATTAATAATAATAAATTTGATGGTTTTGAAGGTGGAATTGGAGTATTTTGTTGATGAGAATGTTGATAAAATTGTTTTATTCGTGCATCAACATTGGGGTTAATTGTAGTACCTTTTGTAGTGTCTGGCAATACTTGTTCTTTATGTTTTGGTAAATGTAATCCTTGACAAATTGCATTACATTGATGAGTTCTAAAAAATTGAGAAATTCCTACTTCACCAAGATTTGTTTCTGAATATATAAACTTATTTTGATCTATATGATGTAATGCTGGATCAGTAAGATAAAATTTATTATTGGCGTTAACACCTTGAATATCACATATCAATAATGCCCCTTTTGTATGAACCCATGTCCAATGGGCAAATGCGTGTAATGTCGAATGAAATTCAGATTCATTAATCCATCCATTGTTGTCAATATATTTGATAAAATACCCACTAAGATAAGGTTCTACAAAATTAGGTGTTCTACATGTAGCAGCAACGGCTTGTTCAGTTTGTTCAAGAGTTAAAATTTTACCATCTAAATCTTTTGTTGGACTTGGAATAAATAAATAATTTGGAAGGAAATGAAGTTTATTTGGTGACACGTTTAATTTATTGAATATATTTGCTAAATAAATACAAATTAATTGTCGTTCAATTGTTTCTAATAACATTGTAAGCGGTCTTTGTTGGAAAAATCGTTTAAGAACAATTCTGTCTCCACGTCCATTTATTGCACGAAAAGCAAGACGTTCTCCTCCTTTTGCAAATGGGGCTAATTCAACCCTAAATGTACTATGCTGAAATAAGAATTGATTTATTCGTTGATTTGATGCAAGGAATTTTCGAATTTGTGTAGTTTCATTAGGAACAGTAATGATATATCCACTCACTTGAGTTTGGTATTGTGGTTCTTTTTCAGAAAGTAATGGATCTACCATCATATCTCGTGACATTATCGCTTTTTGCTCTTCATTGTTTTTAAGTTCTTTTTTTAAGAATATTAGTTTTATATAACAAAATAAAAATAAACAAAAATCAATAGAAGAGAAGAAAGGAATAAAAGAAAGATTCAGAAGCGAAACGAAAAAAGATGAAGTAATCTAAATGACTTTCAATCAGTGTTTAGTATTTTTATTCATTTGTTGATTGCAGATTTAGTTTTTCAATTCAAAGATGATAGTTTAGGTTAACAAATAAATATTAGAATTGACTATTTTATTTTGTCCATTGTATTTTCACGTTTTATAAATGTTATTTTAAAAAAAAGACTATTGCCTCAAATGATATACAAGTCAGATAAATACTTTATAATTTAATTAGACAAATTATCTTTAATTCATTATTTATTCTTTTGTCTTTAATAAAATAAGGAATAAATATATAAAAATAATTTAAAGAGTAATATTATTCTTATATATGTCATTGGATCTATCTTTTTCTTCTAACTTTTATTTTTATTATAAACATTATTTTTAGTATTTAAAGTATTTTCCATTCAATTGTTGAAATTTGGTTCTGTTCAATTAATAATAAAGTATTTCTTATCATTGAAGTTATGTATTTATATGAAATTAAACTCATCGAATAGACATCCATTCATTTTTATATAAGTTTATACTTTCTTCATATTAGTTCTATTATTATTTATTTAAAAAATTATTAAGAAATAAGATTAGATATTATTGTTGAAGAGGTTCTTCCATTCGTTCAATAATTGAAAAAAATAGACTCTATGTCTAAAAAAAAGTTAAGGCATATTAATGAAGCATAATGATGTTAAAAATACTTGTCCATTTATTATAATAGTATAATATTTAGACAAACAATAGTATTAAAAAAGTTTTTATTCCAGAGATGTAGTATATGGATGAGATTTTACTTCTTATTCTATATTTATAATGTTCATTTAATGAAAAGTTATTAATCTCTTATACACATAAAAGTCATTTTAAAAAACTATTTTTCAGTGATATTCATTTTGATGCATATAGCAAATGTTTATTATTTAATTTATTTGTTAAATGGTCCATGACTATTGGACTGAATGTTCATAATCACAATCCATATTTTTATTCAAAAAAGACTTAAAAACTCTATTTTCACGAAGAACAAAGGTTTAAACATGGTTATATACTTTCATCTAGAAGTATTATTTTATTTTATAGTTAGTAATTTATTGAAATTACATATGATAATAATTTCATTTTTTTGTTATCTGCATAGATTTTAGTTGTAATTGTTTATTACAACTTACCATGTAATGGTAATATTTGTTATTTAAATTAATAAATAAGAACAAGGTATTGAGCATCAAAATATATATTCAATTTGTTTAATCTCAACGAAAATTTAATATTCTATTATGATAAAATTCATAAATTGATAAAAACAGTAAAATGAAAGAGTTACAAATGAAATAATCAAAAAAAAAAAATACTTACCAGCCGTATATTTTGTATTTTTCATTACTTAATATGAAATAGTTATTATTAGTATTTTTATACATAAACTAACGTTTGTTATTCAATTCTTTATTAGAAGTGTGTAATTCGGTGACAAAGTTAAACTATAGAAGTATAATAAAGGGTATTTTTTGAGTAATGAATTAAATATTCACATTTTATAGTGATTATTATTATAAGAATAATAAAATTACTAATTATCACCTGTAATACTATTATTAATTATTGATACTATGCATAACAAGAAATATTTATGTTAAAAATAATGAATTGTTTTAATTTTTTACATAAGTTGAATCAATCAATGATAAAAGAACTTGTACTATTTTTTGGTTATCAGGCAAAAATGATATCAATTGAATTATTTTTCTATAGTGAATAGTACTATTTTATCTTTTATATGTTCAGTTGTAAAAAAATAATTATTCTTTCAAATAGCTACGTATATTATGATTGAATCATTAAATTGAAAAATATTTGTCTTGATTTTAATCTACTCATAAACTCATTTTTTGTATTGGGAATGTTAAACACACTATATTAAATCTTTATTGTTAAATTTTTAGTATTTAATTAATCAACATATTTTATTTTTTATAAAGAAGTTTGAATAAAGAATTTAATCAAATAAAAAAAAAATAGTTTTTAATGCACTATAATATCTTTAACAGTTATTTTAAATGTATTATTTTATACATTTTATATCAATAATTATTTACTAATAAAATACAATTTATTATTTCAGTTATTTAATTCAAACTCCTTATTTGAAGCAATGAAAATAGTCTTTTTAGTTTCTTTAATACCGTTGTTGGAGGTTAATAATATCACTGGTTATTTTTAATTAAAACAAAAATAATAAAAATTATTTCATTTGAATTACAACAATTCTTTTTGGTGTGAACTTATCTCCTCCGCAAAGTGCATTTTCAATTCCTTTATATTCAAATGAAGACTGACGACAAGATGATTGTCCTTTATTATTTTCTTTAAAAACCCAAATATCATTACTTCCAAATTTACACAACCAACTATTCCTTGATTGTCCATATAAAATAAATGCATATTCTGGTTGTTCAATATCAAATTTCATCATTCTTTTCATTCTTCCATTTGACTCTAATGAAAATACGAATAATTTTGAATCATATATATGGTTGTCAACTTCATCAATTTTAGAATTAACATATCCTCCAAATTTATTTCCTTCTTCATCTTCAATAATAATTATTATATGTTCTTTATTCATTATTTTTTGATCAAATACTGATGTATCAATATTCCAATTATCAATATCTGAATCAAATATTATATTTCCTACTTTTCTATTTGTCCATTCTTCAAGTTGTTGAATTTCAGATTTTACGAAAGGTACTTCAGGTTGTTTTTCTGTTGAATTATAAGTTTTTTGAATATTTTCTACTTCATTTGTTATTTCAATTAAATTGGAACTTGTGTTTTCTAATTTTTCTTTTTCTTGATGTATTTTTTGTTCTTTTTCCATGAGCATTAAACGTTCTTGATTCAATTTTTCTTCTATCAATTCTTTAATCAATTTTTCATTTACATTTTGTGTTTGAATACTCTTTAAAATATCTTCTATCTCTATTGAATGTATGAAAATATTTGCTGTATTTGTTTCAATTTGACTTGTATTTTCATTCATCTGAATAGATAATTGTTTATTTTCATTTTTTACTTTTTCTATCATTGTTTCTATTGTTTTATTAGTAGCCATTTCATTTGACCCATTTGACATTTTCATTTCTCCTATAATCTTATTTATGTATTCAGTAATTTTGTTTTGTGAATATAACATTTGTCTAGAAATACATTTTTCTATTTGACTTTCTAATTTATTAATTCGGTTATTATACACAGTTTTTAATTCTTCAAATCGTCTATTGTATGTATTTTTTAATTCTTCAAATCGTCTATTGCATATATTTTCTACAATATTAAACTTTTCATTTTGTAGGTTTACGTGTTCATGTATATCATCTTTCAAATAATCAACTTCTTGTTGTAAGGTTTCTACTTTAGATGAAATATTCGTCGATTGAAACATCTTTCTGATTCTATTTTAGTTCATTTTTTAGTTCGCCGTTAAATATTTTTATTATTCTTTCTTATTTTGAAATATGGTTGAAGAATGAAAATCAGAAACAACACAAACATTAATACAAAACAAATAATGAAATATCAATTATTATTTGGTTATGACTATGTAATTGAATAAGAAATATAATAAATAATAATACAACGAATGAAGTAAGATAATATGAAAGAATAATAACAAAAGAAATGATATAAATGATGTTATTAATAATAAAAGAAATTATACATAATAATATAATGATAATGATATATTCATTCAACATAAAATAAGACAAAAAGAAGAATGAAAAGATAACAATAATAAAACAAAAGAAAATGATTTATTCAAACAAAACAAGAAGAAAATCTAAATAATAAATAAAACAAAAAATTATTTATTTTAATAAAGTATGATGTGATTATATTCATTAATCAATAAATCAATAAATAAATGACAATTCTATTAACACTAAATTATCTAATTTTTACTTTTTAAAATATTATTTGATAAATTTCTTCTAGTTTTTATTTTGTTGTTGAAAAATATATTAATTAATTCTACATTGTTATCATTATCCAAGTGATACACTTTATTTTATTTCTCTCTCAAGTACTTTTTAATTTAATATTTTTTATTCTTTATCTATATTATTAAATGTAATTATTAACCTTTGTGTCTCCAAGTTATTGTTTATTCTTCTTTATTGCATAATTTTTTCTCTCAATTACAATTCATTATTTTAATTAGTAAAATACTTAATAAAGCACAAGAAGAAACAATCAAAAGTATCTCTATTGAAGGAGAAACAGAAATATCAACACGACTTGATCCTGATGAAATAAAAGAAGAAAAGAAAATAGGAGAAGGATCATTTGGAATTGTTTATGTTGGAGAATTTAGAGGAAATAAAGTAGTAATTAAGAAAATAAAACAAGTTGAAGAAAATGAAGATAAAAAGAAAGAATTTGAGAAAGAAGTAGCAATGTTAGATAAATTTCGAGATGAATATATCATTCATTTTTATGGAGCATTATTTATTCCTAATAAAATATGTATGGTAACAGAATTTGCAGAATATGGATCATTACAAGATATAATGAATAAAAGAAACATCACAGAAATATCAAAAAAAATAAGAATTAAATTTATGATAGATGGAGCAAAATGAATATCATATCTTCATTCAAATGGAATATTACATCGAGATATTAAACCAGATAATTTCCTTGTTGTAACACTTGATGATAATATTGAAGTTAATTGTAAATTAACGGATTTTGGAAGTGCAAGAAACATTAATATGATGATGACAAATATGACATTCACAAAAGGGATAGGAACACCAAAATACATGGCACCAGAAGTGTTAAATCATCAACATTATAAAATGCCATCAGATATATATTCATTTTCAATAACAATGTTACAAATCATTATATGGCAAGATCCATTTCCTAAAACATTATATCCACATCCATAGGATATTGCAGATACAATCACAACAGGTAAACGACCAATCATAATACAAGAAGTAGAAGAAGATATTAAAGATGTTATTGAAAAGTCATTGCAACAAGAATCAAAAAGAAAGAATAACGATAGATGAAATCGTAAGAATGTTAGAAAGAAATTAAATTAATAACTGACTAAAGTAGTATTTCATTTTATTGTTTAGTTATTTTTATTAAATGAAGCAAAAAAATTATAAAGTATTAAAAATAAAAAAGAGTGACAGAATGATAAATAATAAATAATACCAAACAGATAAAAGAACAGAAATTTAGAATAAAGCGTAAAGAATATATACAAACAGAATATAAAAATAACAAATTGTATAATGATTCAATGAAAATATTAAAAAATATATATTTAATTGATTGAACATTTATTTAATAAAGCAAATAAATTAGATTTTTTATAACTGTAATTGACTAATTATATCAATAAAGAATAATTATATAAGAGTTATTTAATAAATTAACCATAGTATTAATATAAAAATAATATAAAATATTCACATGAAAATTATATTTATTATATAATGAATGAAGAAAGTAATACATAGTATTGTAAAATAATTATAACATTAAATGTTTATTAATATTAAAAATGAAATAAAATATCATTTATTATTAATGTTAGATAATGTTAATGATTAATGATTAACTTTTTTGTAGTAAATTTCAATGTACAATAAAATGCTGATTTTTATAATTTAAAAAAAAAAATAAAAATTAAGAGGTATTGTAATATATTAAAACTATAGATTAATTTTCAAAGAATGAATGATAAAATAATAAAATAACTAAAGAAATAATTAAATACAAAAATATTAACAAAATTGAAATAATTAATGAGACATTTAGCATCTATTCTCATTTGTACAAACAATTCTAATGGTTCTAATTATTAAATAGTATAATTAATAAATCATATTAAATAACTGAAATAAACAAAAAATGTTAGCAAATAATACATATAAATGATAATTATGATATATTGAAAATATTCACTATAAGAAAACAAAATAGTAACAAAATACAAAAATAAGACAGGTATTATTAATTCAAAAAAAATATATGGAGACGTTCAAATAAAAGATAAATTCATTCATATATTAACAAAATATTATTAAACACAAATATGAATGATAACAGAAATGGAATTAATAAATAATATTATGAAAAGTAAATTGCTAAAAATTCTATTTCTAGTAATAACCTTTATTACCTTAAAATCAAGAAGTAAATTATAATTTAAATAATATAGAATTAAAGTACTGATGATTCAATCTTCACTGAAAATGAAATAAAATATGTTGAAGATAAATTGGATTAAATCTAAATTTATTGAAAAATGTACTATTAATTAAGCATAATGTTCCTGTTTTGTAAAAAAATCTTAAGTTTGTTTTTTAATGTATTAATAATAAACTACTCTTGAAGACACATACATTGAAGTTAAGTCTCATTTATATAGAATTAAAGAAATTATATATGGATATAAATACCTTCTGACATAATTTGAATTCAAAATAATGTTGAAATATAGAAAATAAAAATTCTTTAAGAAGATAATAGTAACAAATAAAAATTACTAATTAAAAGTTATTTAAATTACTTCATCCTTATTAAATTCAATTCTATTTATTTCTTTTCTTCCTTTCTTCTATTCTTTTGATTTCTTTTTACAAAAAGAACTAACGTTTGGGAGTCCATTCTATAACATACAAAGTCATAAGGTTAAAACCAACACGATAAGGAGAAGAATAGTCTTGTCCTTCACAAAATAGATCAAAACCATACTCAGACACATGCTCATAAGCAACATTAAAACTTGTAGAAATGTAAGAAGTTGCATCAGAAAAAATAAAGAAGAAACTAGGAACAGAAATAACTTCATTTGTTTGTCCATTAAATCTGAAAGCAACACGATATTCCTTTCTTTTCTTTACATTAATTGGAGCTGTTTTATGTGGATTGATTAATGAAAAAGCAAAGTGATATTTTTGACTATCATCTTCAACATTAAAAGAAATATCTCTTATTCTATTGATAAAACCACCATAATATGAACCAAATACATGACCTTCTTTTGTTTGAATAATTACCATTAAATTTTTATGTTCCATCATTTTTGAACTTATTAACTTTCCATTTAATCCATCAACACTACTATTATAAATTATATTAAAATTTTCCATATCTGTCCATTGTTGTAACACCATTAAATATTTATTTATTATTTTAAATATGTCAGTATCAATTATTTCTCGTTGTACACCACACGCTTCTCCATAATTTGTTGCTAAACGTTCTTGTTCTTCTAAAGCCTCATTGACTTTATCTAATGAAATACGTTCTGAAGGTTCATATTTACAACATTTTGTTATTGTTTCCCATATTATTCCATTTAATTTTGGTTTTCGAGTTAGTGCAGCTTCTTGAGTAATTCTCATCATATCTTCAACAGAAAATGAGCCATCATCATGGGTATAAGGTAATTGTTTTGAAAATGTTTCATATGTTAATATTCCAAAACTAAATACATCTGATTGTCTTGATAATGATATATTAGTTAATACTTCTGGTGCTCTATATACAAGTGATCGTTGAATTTCACTTAATGTCATTTTTTTTAAGTCTAATCGTTTATGTCTTCCGTAAATAGATAATTTACAATTACTTGTTTTGGTAATATCAACTGATGTAATGAATATTTTCGATGGTTGTAATTCACCTGCTATAATATTAACATTATGAATAATTTTTAATGCCTTAATAACATCTTTTAAAATTTTAATTCTAAATGCCTCACTACATGAAGGTATGAATTGGTCAAATGTACCCATATCACAATATTCAAATAATATTCTAATTTCTTTACATCGTTCTACTCCAATTAATTCAACAATAAATTCTGATTTTATTTTAATGACTAAAGAACAAAGTCCTTCTATTTCATTGAAATATGATTGCATATCTGTATTATATATTTTTAATATAGCAGGACGTTTTTTATACCAACACCTTTTTAATATACTGTCTTGTCCTCGAAGGACTGGAGCAAATGGGTCAATTTCTAATGAATCATTATCAAAAGACATTGATCTTCTAACCATCGAGTTATTTTTCTAAAACAAAAAAAAAAAGAAAAAACGATTTTTTATTAATTTTATTATTAATTTTACTATAAAAAAAAATCTTAAAAAGGAAAAAAGAATTTAAAAAACCTAATGCCAAAGAGAAATCAACCTGAACTTGATGTTAAAGAATTTGATGATGGTGATGAAAACGAAAGTGTTAATGAAGAAGAAGAAGAAATGTTTGATAAAAATAAACTAAAAGAATTAAAAGAAAAAGATCCAGATTTTTATGAATTTATGTTAAAAAATGACCCAACAATGTTCCAAGAAGAAGAAGTAAATGATGAAGAAATGGGTTGGACAATGCCAGACACTGAAGAACAAGGAGACTTAGCTACTACACAACAAGTTATTGAAAATGCAAAAAAAGGAAATGACTCAGCATTATTACAAAGTGTTCTTCTTTTTGTTGATGCAGTTCAAGAGAAACGAATTGAAACGGCATCAGATTATGAAGCAATTATGACATTTGCTGTTGATGAATTACCAAAGTTAATTAAAAATAAAAAAGGAATGTTTAAGATTTATATGAGAGGAGTTGTTCTTGCTTTAAAAAATATTGATGAACCAACAATTCTTCATGTATTTATTGATATTATCAAAGAAAATGCAGATAAATATGCGATTTCAGATAGTTATTCTAAATGTATAAGTTCATTATCAGTATTTGCATTTAATTATAAAAGTGTATTAAGAAGTATTGCAATTGAAACAATGATGGCAGTAATTAAAGCATCCAGAAAAGATGAAAATCGAATGGAAAAAAGTTTAAGAATTATTTTTGGAAATTATATGAAAAGTTGTAAACAATTTTCAAGAAATACTTCTGATTTATTTAATGAATCACAACAATTTATAAAGAAAATATCTTTATTTAATATGAAAGCAACTTATAATATTTTATTTGAATATATAAGAAATATTGCACTTTCAACAAAAAATTGTAATACTGATTTAAATGCATTTAAAAGTGTATGTTCATTTGGTTGTATTAAAACATTTGAAATTATTGCAATTTGTTTAAAAGCAAATGTAGATGAAAAAGTAACTCAATTATATCATCCATTTTGTCAATTATTATGTGGATTATTAAATTTTGTTAAAGGAATAACTCATTTTCCAGTTGTTCTTCATTTTATTCAAATTTTAAATTCAGTAGTATCTGAAAAACTCTTTGTTTCACCAATTCCTCCTATACTTGTTGCATTTGAACAATTATCTCAAATTAAACCAAAACCCTCATCAGCAGAACAAGGTTCTTCAAAGAAAAGTAAAAAAGAATATGAAGAAATTGATTTTTCATATTCTCTTCAAATATCAAAAGAAGAAACTAGAAATTCAGATTTTATAGTTTCGGCAACAAACGCACTTATTAAAGAATTAACAAATTATTTTAATATTTTCAATAAGTCAATTGCATTACCAGAACTTGCATGTCAATGTATTAGTTCATTAAAAAAAATAACTAAACAATGTAAAATTGTTGTTTTAAATAATAAAATTAATACTTTTATTCAAAAATTAAATAAAAATATTGAAGTTATTAAACAAAAGAGAAATGGAATTGACTTTGGACCATTTGACGTGACTAAAGTAATGGAATTTGAGTCTAATTGAATTTTTCGTTTTATAGGGTTTCGGGAAAAGGTTTTATTATTTAAAATCATGTCAATGGAACAACTCATAGTAAGTTGTGACTCTAAATATTATTGGAATAGTTATGCTCATGTTAATATTCATGAAGAAATGATTCAAGATGAACATCGTACACAAACTTATAAAAAAGCAATTGAATGTTTTTGTAGAGGAAAAATAGTTGTTGATGTAGGTTGTGGAACAGGAATATTATCATTATTTGCAGCAACAGCAGGAGCAAAACGAGTTTATGCAATTGATATGAGTGATATTGCGCATTATGCCAGATATATTGTAGAACAAAATGGATTTAAAGATATTATTACAGTTATAAAAGAACAAGTTGAAAAAGTCTTTCTAGCAGAAAAAGTAGATGTAATAGTTAGTGAATGGATGGGATATAATTTATTATTTGAAGGAATGTTAGCAAGTGTAATTACAGCTAGAAGATTTCTTAAACCAAATGGAATTATTTTACCAAATCAATGTCGATTATTTATAACTGCAATTCAAGGTGATGATGAATTTATTTTAAGAAAGAAAAGTTTTATTGAAATATATGGAAATTTAGATATTATTGATGATATTTGTATAGTTGAACCTTCAATTCAAAATATTAATCCTTCACGAGTTGTTTCAACTCATTGTATTATTGCTGATTTTAATATGTTAACAATGAAAGTAAATGACGTTAATTTTACAAGTCCTTTTACAATAGAAATTATTCAAAATACTCAAGTTTGTGGGTTTTGTTGTTATTTTGATTGTCTTTTTTATGGTAAAGCTCATTTAACAACAAAACCTGGTCAACCAACTCATTGGAAACAAACTTTATTTTTTTTAAAAAATCCATTAAAATGTAAATTAGGTGATCAAATTAAAGGATTATATACGTGTCACGCTAATTCTAAAAATCCAAGAAATCTTGATATAATAATTCAATTTAGTCATATAAATCAATGTTACAAAATAGAATATCATTTAAATTAAATTACTTTTGTTTTAATTAATTTAATAATAATTTTTATTTTTCTTTAAAATTTATTAATAATATTTAAAAAAAGTAATTTAATTCAAATAATTTCATTTTTCTTCTTTATTTTCTTTATTATTCTCTTTTTCTTTTTCTTCTTCCTCTTCTTCTTTCTTTTGTGCTACTTTATGTAATGAATATTCAGCAGAATCAAAATATTGTCTATTTGTTTGAATTCTACCAAGTCGTTTTTGTTGAACACCTTGTGTTTGTGCACTTCGTACTAAATTACCAAAGTTTTTTTTACCAGGTTTAGGAGCTGTGTGATGCATACTTTCACATTGAATACTTGGTTCTTCACTCATATTTAAAAGATCTTAGTTCTGAACTTTAAAATATAAAAGTAAATGGGAAAAGACAAGTTAACAGTTCCAAAAGTTTCATTGTATAATCCAGTTGAATTAAAGAAAGTATTAGACTTAGGACTAGAAGAAATTCTTAAAACTCAATTAAAATATGATATTGATTATTGGTATTCAAATACTATTATTGTTTGTTCTGTCATTTGTTCTTTTTTAGGAGCACTTGCTTGGTGGTATCCAAAACCATGGCCTGAATCATATTGGCATATTGTTGCAATAATTATTATTTACATTATTGTTGATGGGTATTTAACTTATATTATGTGGTTTAAACATAGTGGTTTTGCTGTTGCAATTAAGAAACCTAAGATAGAGTTTTATAGTGCAATGATTTCTTATACTCCATATTTTCAAATAATAATGTATAAAGACAAAAAAGAATACAGTATTGAAATTGAAGTTAATAAAGTGTTTGATTCTGAAGGTAAATTACTTCTTCCTTTATATCAAGGATATGTGGAAAAATTAATTAATTTTGAATAAAATTCATAAAAATTTTATTTCTTCTTTTTTGTTAATTTGTTAAAGAATTTAGTAATTTAAAATTTTAATTTGTTATTCGTAATTTACCTTTTATCTTTTCTTGAATTAATATGTTTTTGTATTTTTTATTCTTTTCTTAATAAAAATTTGTAAATACAAAATTAACTCATAATATTATTTTTTTATTCTTTTTAATTTATTTGAAAATTGATAAATACAAAGATTTGTTTATTTTATTAATTATTTGTTAGAATTATTTATAAAATACTTTTCTATTTATTAAAAAAAGTAATAATAAACAAGTACAAATTTAGTATTCTAAATTAAATCTATAATAAACTAATCATTCTAAAAATTGTGGTGTAGGTAAATACTTTCATTAAAACTTATTCACCAAATATAATAACTATATACTTTGTGTTAACACTATTTTTTTTTTAAATTACCATTTATTTAAATTGAATTTAATAAATATTAGTTAGTAATGAATTTAATGTTATGATGAAATAATTATTCAGGGGAAGAAAAATAAAAATAATTATAATAAAAATTTATTTTAATAAACTCTTTTATTAAAATAGTATTTTAGAAATAATACGATTTGACAAAAATTCACAATTATAATCCAGGCAACACAGTAGAAGAAGAACCATATATTGAGAGGATGTTGAAAATGAACTTTATGATACCAATAGAGAATATTGAATAAACTTAAATAATCACTTCTCAATACGAAGAAAATCCAATTGTAGCTATATCTTAGTAATTGACCTTTTTTGACTAAATTCACACTATTAAATTGAAATACGGAAAATAGTTATGAGAGAGTAAAATTATTTACTAATAATTGAAATAAAGCTTTCCAATAAAATATAAAAACACATATTTAGTAAATACTTGTATAATTAAAATGCAATAAGTCAATGATATTAAATTAATTTTACTCCAATTAAAATACAAAAATAAAATTTTATTTTTGATATAATACTATGATATTTACAAAGATAATTAGAAGAATAATAATATTTTTTGAAGAGAATATTAAGGTAGTAAGTAAATTTGATAATGCCTTATATAAGAATTGTAAATTTTTTCATCTTTATGTAGAAAAAAAATGAATATACACAACAGATGATAGAACATATGTATTAAGAACTTATGGTTAAAAAGTAGTTTAATACAACATAGATTTGGGATGAATAAATACCCCCCAAGAAAATGTATAAATAACGAAATAATTATTATCAAAAGAATTTAAAATCATATAGCTTCATATAAGTGTTAGTTTAATCATTAAAAATATC